AATAAAACGCACATAACTATAAATTAAACGCGACAATAAAAAACAAAGGAGAGACACACACACACAACCTGGATAACTCATGCTGCCCTTTACCTGAATTTGCAGTTTAAGCTAAAAAAAAAAGATTTGGGGAGTTTTTCTGTGGTTAAGAATGGCTCATAAAAGGGGACCCTTTTCTGGCCTGGCTTGGGGGGGGGGTGTTCTGAGCCCCAAATATGCTGGTATGTTAAACCTGGCTCCTGAAATAACCCATTTTCTGGCTTCACACAGCCTCTAAGCTCTTAGCCACAAATTAACCAGGATTATCTAAGTTTAGCGCGTTATCCGAATGCAGCCATTTGACTTCTGGCTCGCCAGTTAATCTTCTCTTACTCAGCCATTGGTTGAGCTGCTGTGATGTCACAGAATAATCCACAAAGGCTCCGCCCACCAACCAAAAGAAATATCTGTTTTCGGACCATCGCTGCTTCTCTGGAAGGAAACGGAGAAGTGAGATTAGCAAACGGGATGAAATTCTCAAATGTTGGGCCACGCACCACGAGCTGCATTGTATTTCTGAAGTCCTCGCCTTTTCCTGCTGGCGTCTGATAATGCCGTGATACACTGCCCCTGAACGGTGAAGCTCCACATCCAGGGATAGTATTCACTTACTTAATTTCCCTAGCAGTTCGCAAATGTGAGAGTGCACCACGCAGGCGCATGGCTTGAAAATGTCCCTAAATAGGACATAAATAGGACATCAATAGGCTAAGATGCTGAGCTTGTCGATCAGAAAGATCGACAGTTCAACAGTTCGAATCCCCAGCGCTGCATAATGGAGGGAGCTCCCGTGACTTGTCCCAGCTTCTGCCAACCTAGCAGTTCGAAAGCACGTAAGAAATGCAAGTAGAAAAATAGGAGCCACCTTTGGTGGGAAGGGAACAGCGTTCCGTGCGCCTTCGGGAATTGAGTCATGCCAGCCACATGACACGGAGATGTCTTTGGACAACAACGCTGGCTCTTCAGCTTCGGTACAGAGATGAGCACCGCCCTCTAGAGTCGGGAACGAACAGCACACGTGCGAAAGGGGAAGTTTTTAACCAAATAGGACGGCATAGAATCAGGGCACGATAGAACCTTATCTTACCTTCCACAAATAGTGGCACATAAGTATTTTTTTTTTAATTTTTATTTTAATCCCTTCCATCTGCAGCAACATCCTTATTGCGCTCAGTTAAAAAAAAAGTAAAAATGGCACTTTTTTGCTGGAAGTAGGTGAACTCAGCCGGATTCTCTCGAATCAATTGTGAGAAATCAATCCCATATGCTTTGTGCATTCAGATCAATTCGGATCTCCCAATCCGGCCTGATTCGATTGGGGGGCGGGTGGGGGAGAGATTGTCTCTTAAAAAGCAGGCGGGTAAGTTTAAAATCGCCAGGAGCCTTAGAGGATCCAAGCGGTTTGGAATCGATTTGGCCGGTTTTCCCGGTCGTGATCCGCGTTCGAATTCCATGTCCGATGCTATGGACTGCCAATATTGCCCCTCGGTTGACTCGCCTTAACCAAGTTTGTGTGAGTCTTTAAAACATCTGGATGTTTTCTTTTGGCTGTTTCAAGCGTTCAGCTTCTCGGCGGAGATGGGCAGTGAGGTCAAGAGAGTGTTTCCTGCCCATGTGCAGAGTTCCCTATCGACTTTTCTCTCCTCCCCTCTTCTGCTGCATCTTTGGACTGTTAGGAGCTGAAGGTGTCAAACAGGGAAGAATATGGAAGTAGTAGAAATTTCAGCCCTTCCCCAAATAAAGATTATGGTTGCCGCTTGGCCAGTTTTTCAGCTGTGTCCTCTCCGCAGCATCTCAGCAGCTGAGAATTTGTAAAATGCGGGTCCGGCCGTAGGGCTTCCCCTCCCCAACTGTCAAAGTGAGAATGGAAGGGAAATTGCCAACGTGTCTGACTTGATGGGAAGTGGGGGGGGGGGAGGAAGCAGAGTTTCTCTCCTTCCCCCTCTGTTTTGCACATGAAGCCTTTCCTCACTCGATGTATTGACAGTAATTAAAAATGCCCCCCTCTTTCTCTCTCTCTCTCTCCCTCTCTGTCCATCTGTCTCTCTGTTTTTATCTCTCTCTCTCTGTGTCTGTCTCTGCCCCCCTCTCTCTGTGTCTCTGTCTCTCTCTGCCTCTCTTCTTTCTCTCTCCCTCTCTGTCTGTCTGTCTCTGTCTCTCTCTCTCTCTCCATCTGTCTCTGTTTTTTCTCTCCCTGTGTGTGTCAGTCTCTCTCTCTCTCTCTGCCCTCCTCTCTCTGTCTCTTTCTCTCTCCCTCTCTCCTTCTCTCTCTCTGCCCCCCTCTCTGTGTCTCTGTCTCTCTCTGCCCCCTCTCTCTCTGTGTCTCTCTGTGTCTCTCTCTTTCTCTCTGTCTCTCTCTCTATCTTTCTCCCTTTCCCTCTCTCTCCTCTCTCTGTCTATCTCTGTCTGTCTGTCTTTCTGTCTCTTTCTGTCTCTCTCTCTCTCTCCATCTGTCTCTGTTTTTTCTCTCCCTGTGTGTGTCAGTCTGTCTCTCTCTCTGCCCTCCTCTCTCTGTCTCTGTCCCTTTCTCTCTCCCTCTCTCCTTCTCTCTCTCTGCCCCTCTCTCTGTGTCTCTGTCTCTCTCTGCCCCCTCTCTCTCTGCCCCCCTCTCTGTGTGTCTCTCTCTTTCTCTCTGTCTCTCTCTCTGTCTTTCTCCCTTTCCCTCTCTCCTCTCTCTGTCTGTCTCTGTCTGTCTGTCTGTCTTTCTGTCTGTCTGTCTCTCTCTCCCTCCATCTGTCTCTCTGTTTTTTCTCTCCCTGTGTGTGTCAGTCTGTCTCTCTCTCTGCCCTCCTCTCTCTGTCTCTGTCCCTTTCTCTCCCCCTCTCTCCTCTCTCTGCCCCCTCTCTCTGTGTCTCTGTCTCTCTGCTCTCTGTCTCTTTCTCTCTCTCTCTCTCTCTGTCTCTCTCTCTTTGTCTCTCTCTGTCTCTTTCTCTCTCCCCCGTCTGTTTGCCTGTCTGTCTGTTTCTGTCTCTTTCTCTCTCCCTCTCTCTCTCTCTCTCCCTCTCTCTATTTGTGTCTCTGTCTCTTTTTATATCTATCTTTCTCTCTCTCCCTCTCCCTCCCCCCCCTCTCATTTCCTGTAACCTCTAAGCTTATTACCGGATGGGGGGGGAAATGATTTCGCTCTTGAAATGGAGGGGTTTTTCTTCCTCTCCTGCACACTTGCACACACACAGACACACACACACACAGAGCCGTGTGCGCGTCCACGGATCAGGGAAGGGGATGACAGACAGCTGCTTCAATGGGGCGTTCTCTCTCCTGGGAACTTTGGGGTCGTTCGGCCACTGAACGTGGGTGGGCTTGTCAATCAGTGGCAGGGGCGTATCGGCAGCGGGAAGGTTGGGGAGGGAGGGGGGGGGAGTTTGGAAGTCTAGACAAGGTTGCTTCCTTCCCTGGGGTGAGGGGTGGGTTGCGAGAGCTGAGCCCAGTCCTTTTTTCTGCTTTATTACCCCCTCCCCCAGTGAACGGGTCTCCCTACGGAAAGCAGGTGGGCTTCCTGGCTGCAAAAAGGGCATTTCCAATTTTTTTTTGGGGGGGGAAGTGAGTTTTACAGAGAGCAGATCCTCTGGAAAATCAGGCCTGGGTGTTGGAAGTGTGCCCCTCACCACCATCCTTCCCAGTCTTCCTCCTTCCCGTCCTTTCACGCCGAATCTCCTTGTGGCGTCTCATCCATCGGCAAACAAGGATTTTTTGGAAAATCGGGAACCATCAGCTTGGTCCCGCCTTGCTTAGCGATGGAAATTCGGGTGCCGAGTATGGTCGGAAGTTGAGGGCTGCTTGCAAGATGGAAGGGACTAGCTTCCAAACAGCCTTCGAATCCTTGTAGTTTAGTGGCAGTCACTAAATAAATTCATCTTCCCTTTCTGCAGCCTGGATTTTTCCGTCAAATTGCGGCTTTCTTTGACACCAAAATGGTAGTTGAAATGCTTCCTACAAAAGTGACGTGTAAATAGCGCGAATTTAAAAAACGATGAAAGGGAGAGAAATCGGCGAGGCTTCCGCCAGCTAGCGCCTTCAAACTCCCACGGAAATTTTTAGTCTTTGCTTGCAGCTAAGAAGCAAAGAGAAGTTTCAACCGGCTCTGCTTTTGAGGCCCAGTTCTTGCTAACTGAGAATGGAGTCTTCTTTAATCAGATTTGTTGACAAAGAAAAGGCAATGATGCTGCAGAAGTCTCAACACAGGGAGATATCTTCCCTCCCTCGAGCACTTAAATTTGGCTGGACTTAATTCTCTCTTTTTTTAAAGGAGAGTGGAATAAAAAAAGATGCAGAACCCTGAACAAAAAAATCTGCCCCCCACCCCAAATTCAGAAATAGTGCAATTCAACGGCCCGTCTCCTGTTTCGCATGCTAAAATGCGCTAGACTCCATCGGTAAGGGATTTGACGCTCCGTAAAATAAGGACCAGTTCCCGGGATGCGGTGGCTCAGTGGCTAAGGCGCTGAGCTTGTCGATCAGAAAGGTCAGCAATTTGGCAGTTCGAATCCCTAGCGCCGCGTAACGGAGGGAGCTCCCATGACTCGTACCATCTTCTGCCAACCTAGCAGTTCGAAAGCATGTAAAAAATGCAAGTAGAAAAATAGGGTGGGAAGGTGGGAAGGGAACAGCGTTTTGTCCGTCTTCGGGAGTTGAGTCATGCCAGCCACATGACCACGGAGACGTTTTCGGACAGCGCTGGCTCTTTGGCTTGGAAACGGAGATGAGCATTGCCCCCTAGAGTTGGGAACGACTAGCACGTATGCGCGAGGGGAACCTTTACCTTTAAAATAAAAAAACCCGAATCGTTCCCTGGGCTCGTTTTCAACTCTTCGCAACCATATTCGGAATCATGAGGACTAGAAAATTAACTTGGCGAAGGGAACGCCGCAGTGCAAAATTGCCGTTACATTTTGTAAGAACCACTTATTTCTCACCACTCACCCTTCCGTTTTTTGTTTGTTTGCCTTTCCGCCCCACAGAAAACTCCCACACGCCCCTTTTGGAGGGCCCGGTGACACAGATGACTCCGGAGGAAGATTACCGGCGGCTGATGTCCGCCCTCAACGAACACAGCACTTTTGAAGAGCAGCAGCAGCAGCAGCGCCTCTACCAGTTGGCTGGCGGGATATCCGTCCCGAGTCACAGCGGTGAGCCTGGGGAATTCTGGGAGTTGAAGTCCATGCATATTGACAGTGCAGAGAAGAGCAACAATGATGGTTGGGGGCTGGAAAGTAAAGCATATGAAGGACGTAGACATAGAATAGAATAGAATAGAATAGAATAGAATAGAATAGAATAGAAGGATAGATGAGTAGACTAGAATGGAGTAGAATAGATTAGAATAGTAGAATAGAATAGTAGAATAGAATAGTAGAATAGAATAGTAGAATAGAATAGAATATAGATGAGTAGACTGGAATGGAATAGAATAGAATAGAATAATAGAATAGAATAAAATAGGAGAATAGGTAGACTAGAATAGAATAGTAGAATAGAATAAAATAGAATAGAACTGGATAGATAGACTAGACTAGATTAGACTAGAATAGAATAGAATAGGATAGGGTAGAAGAATAGACTGGAATGGAATAGAATAGAATAATAGAATACTAGACTAGAATAAAATAGAATAGAATAGGAGGATAGATAGACTGGATTAGATTAGATAGGCTAGAATAGAATAGAATAGAATAGAGGATAGATAAATATGGAATGGAATGGAATAGTATAGAATAGAATAGTTGGAAGGGATCTTGGAGGTCTTCTAATCCAACATATGAAGAATGTTTGCAGGAATTGGGTATATCTGGTTTAAGAAGGACTAGAGTGGAAATGATACCATGGTTTCAGTATTTGAGGGGCTGCCCCGAAGAAGAGAAAGTCAAGCTATTCTCCAAAGCAGTTGAGGGCGGGACAAGAAACAATGGATGGAAACTAATCAAGGAGAGAAGCAACCTAGAATTAAGGAGAAACTGTCTTTAACAGTGAGGACAATTCACCAGTGGAACAGAAATCACTGGAGGTTTCTAAGAAGGAACTAGACAGTCACTTCTCTGAAATATGGTATAGTTTTTCCTGCTTGAGCAGGGGGCTGGACTAGAAGACCTCTAAGGTCCCTTCCAATTCTGTTATTCTATTCTGTGAAAAATGGCCAAGTTTGAGGGGGGGGGGAAACCTTCTCTTTAAAGCCTATAAACTGTTTAACACCGGGCATTGGGGGGGGGGGTCTGGTAGGAGTAGTGCGGTGGCCTAAAAGTGGTGCTCTCATCTCACAAATCAGGATGCTGTGAGTTCAATCCTAGGTAGAGGCAGATATTTCTCTCTCTGGGCACACTGAGAATCTACCTGCTGCAAAACTCTGTATTGGCGACAGGGAAGGACATCTGGCCATGAAAACACTCTGCTAGCTCCATTCACTTGCCCAGACTCCACCCCGCAAGCCATGATGGGCTCATTAAAAGATGACGATGATTGAAAATACAGGATGGCCACTTGTGATTGGTGTATAAAGTTTTTTGCTCTTATCGCCTGGACGATGTTTTAATTCACCCTTGTGGGTGCCTGCTGGGGGGAGGAGAATGAGGCTCAATTATAAATG